ATCGACTCCGATTTTGAACCACATGTAGATAGATGAACACCAAAAAATATTTACGGTCACATATCAATTTTTAGATTAAGCATTAGATGACAGAACTTTATACCGAATTAGGAAGAGAGGATGATCTACTCTAATAATGGATGCTAAAATTTAGAGCTTAGAAATATACAGTTTTTAAAAAGTATTAAGAAAATTCCGCAGCGAAACACTATCAGACCCTGCAGCAGTGCCAATTCCTAATTCCGATTCTCTACATCCTGAGCGCTAAAAGTAGACAGTTTCGATGAAGCAAGCGACGATCAGTTGTACGATTCCGCCGGATCCTCATTAGTTAGAGCAACTTCGGCATCGTACAAACGCAACTCCATATCAGCCGGGTTTGCCTTGTCATAGCGTAACTGAGCGTTGCGATTATCTTTCTCGAAATTTTCAACCTGCAGCATATGTTACTGAACATAACAGACACGTTCAGTTTCCTGCATCAAAAGACATCAAAAAACACGGAGCAAACCAAAGACAAGTAAAGGCGCGCACCAGGGCAGCCCGTCTGATCATGCGTTTTGTGTAATTTCGTCCACCGAACGATTGCCTGCTAATGATTTTCACTGCTTTAAATTTAGATTTGAGGGGTTGCCCGTGGGCAAAGGGTCACTGACCTAAAATTTCAACTCCCTAGATTCCGCGATTCCCGAGATAATAGTACTCGCCAAAAGTTTTAACACTCGGGTACGGGAAGGCTGAATTTAAATTTCCTGGATTGCAAGTGGGCAGGGGAAATACCTATAAAATTTCAACTTCCTTGATTCCGCGGTTCCCGAAATAATTTTCCCCGCCGAAACCTTTACGAGGCCATATGTGTTACCGACGGGTATGGAGAGGCTGAATTTAAATTTGCACAGTCACGTGGATGGGGAATAGTTCCCCTAAATTTCAAGCTTCCTAGCTTTTGTGATTGAGGAGTTGAAAGCTGTAGACAAGTTGTTGCGGACGCACACACACACACGGACACACACACACACACACGCACACACACACACACACACACACAACCCCGTGACAATATGCGTCTTGTACTGCTGCTACACAGCAAAAAACGCATAATAAGCCGATTTTAGCATCCAGGACTGGAAGCCTAAGCGGTGAAGGTGCGATAAAAGGAAAACTGTCAAATCTGCTAAAAACATTGTGTGCCAGTGCACAAGATGACTCGCGATGCCTGTAACGTATACATGCTGTCTCTATAAAAGAGCTTCCGGTAAGTGAAGACGTATCAGTAGGAATTATTTCCACAAAAATTCGATCAAAACATCTACCCCCCCTCCCCTTAAAACATGCCAGATAATCTCGAAATAACGTGAGATACAAGCTCCAGTAACTTTAAGCAAGCCCTAATCGTACTATGGAGCCGTCTGAGTAGCTGGAATCGAATACAGTGAACTATTTTAACCTAAACATCCTACAATAATTTGGGATACCTCCATAGTGCCTTTTTTTCGGTACAGAAAACTAACAAACGCATGTTTGGGGCAAAAATACATGTTGTCCGGGCTGTTGCACCAAAAAAAACACAGAGCAGACCTGCACAAGCAGATTGTTGTCGGGGTCCATATTCAGACCAGTAATTTCGTTGAAAAAATCCGTAGCTGACGGTAAGCTATCGATGCCCAATTTTGCAAAAAACTCTAGCACATTTTCGATGTCACGAACAAGGAAGAAAAGTGCTCGCGGATGCGAAATGTCAACTGCCTGAAACATCAACTACTGAATTGGTTTCAGTTCATCAAAATACCAAATAATTGATGCTTTTAGAAATTTTGAAAATTAGCTTAACAGATATTTCGTACCATAACAGATATTTCGTTCGAAAATACTAGTTCCAACAATGTTAATACTTCAGTAAGGGTATT